CTAATCCCTTTCTTGAATGTGTGAGATAAAACTGGGTATTTTAAGTAGTTGGAGAAGAAGGTCTTGCATCAAGAAGTTGGAGAAGGAAGACAACCTTATAGATCTGAGGTTTCTTTGTGCTCAAGAAGCTCGAGGAGGTAAAAAGCTCCAAAATTATGCTTGTATAATGTAGATCTTTTCATGCTAGCTTTATGGAACCATTTGTTGTCCCAAAAGTCCCAAGTTGGTGCATGTTATGATTTGAACGAAATAAACAGCCCTTTCAGACCCTAGAGAGGGTCCTAAGTGATAAAAATGATGTCCTAATGATTGAAAGTGTCCCATGCGTGTAGTAGGAAGGTCTTAATGAGTTAAGACTGTGTATTAGGAACTTTTTGGACGTCCAAAGTCCTAAAGTTCAAGACTTTATGGTTCTAAGGCACATTTGGTTGATAGATCTAGAGTTTGGACTTAAGTGCTTAAGCCATTAAGTACTTATTAGGGTTTTGGAAAAACCTCGCGTACGCCCCGCACAATTTCTATATGCCCAACGTACTGAGTCAACCACCTCGATGGTGGTCAACGCAGAACAAAAGTACACCCAGCGTACCAAAGGAGTATGCCCCGCGTACACCCTCTGTTGGGCTTTTGATGATTTGGGCTTTAGGATTGGGCTCCTTTGGGCCAGTTTGATATGGGCCTTGATGGGCTTTCTGAATAAATGTTTTTTTGGGCCATTAATGGTAATAGACCTTAAATGAGGTCGATTTGGGAGTTAGGTACCAATTGGGAAAATCAGGCCAATAACGGGCCTTAAGTATATGGACTTTTGGATAGTAATTGGGCCTTGGCACAAATTAGAGAAAAGGCAAAATGGACTATGTGGACCCTTAGTCAAGATTGATGTCCCATGTGTCGATTTAGTAATTGTTATTTTGGATAGTTCGGGATTTTCGGTGAGACAATGATCGGAGACTTTTAGTCTAAGTTCAACATTACTTATGAGGTGAGTTGTCCTCATTATATCAAAATGGTCTAAGGCACCAATTTCGGCCCTTTTCGGATTTGTATCCCGGTTATTTCCTGATATGCTCATTGATTTATATCATGGTAGTTAGGATGGTGATGTATTTAGTGACCTGGTTAGGTCGGTATCCTGATATATAAGATGATGCTATGTTAGTGATCGGTTAGGTCTGTATCTAGGTTATAGGATGTTGCTATGATTAGTGATCTGATAGATCAATTTGACTAATATATATGCTAGCATATGATATTTATGTGCACGTGATTGTTTGATTGGGGGCTGGGTTGAGGCGGTCTTGCTTTGTGTTGAAGACCAACATATCCAGGGCAGTCCGGATAGATTGAAGGCCCTACGAGGCGGTCCAGTCAGGCTGAAGGCCCGATGAGCGGTCCGGATAGGCTGTAAGCCCTGCAAGGCGATCCATACGCAACAAAGGCATGGAGAGCGGTCCAGGTAGGTTGAATTCTTACGATGCTGTCCAATTAGGCTGAATGCTCATTATGCATGCTGTTTGTTTATATGATATGATTATGATTGTATGTCGTTAATATTTTAGGGAAACTCACTAAGCTTCGGGCTTACAATTGTTGATTATGTTTCCATTCTAGCTTTATGATTGTATAGTGTTAATATGATATAATTATGATTGTATGGCATTAATATTTTGGGGGAAACTCACTAAGCTCCATTAGGTAAAAAGCTCCAAACTTATGCTTGTATAATGTAGATCTTTCCATGCTAGCTTTATGGAACCATTTCTTGTCCCAAAAGTCCCAAGTTGGTGCATGTTATGATTTGAACGAAATAAACTGTCCTTTCAGACCCTAGAGAGGGTCCTAAGTGATAAAAATGATGTCCTAATGACTGAAAGTGTCCCATGCATGTAGTAGGAAGGTCTTAATGGGTTAAGACCGTGTATTAGGAACTTTTTAGACGTCCAAAGTCCTAAAGTTCAAGACTTTATGGTTCTAAGGCACATTTGGTCGATAGATCTGGAGTTTGAACTTAAGTGGTTAAGCCATTAAGCACTTATTAGGGTTTTGGCAAAACCTCGCGTACGCCCCGTGTAATTTCTATACACCCAACGTACTGAGTTAACCAACTCGATGGTGGTCAACGCAAAATGGAAGTACGCCCAGCGTACCAGAGGAGTACGCCACGTGTACGCCCTCTGTTGGGCTTTGATGATTTAGGCTTCGGGATTAGGCTCCTTTTGGGCCAGTTTGACATGGGCCTTGCTGGGCTTTCTGAATAAATGTTTTTTGGGGCCATTAATGGTAATAGACCTTAAATGAGGTCGATTTGGGAGTTGGAGCCCAATTGGGAAAGTCGGGCCAATAATGGGTCTTAAGTATATGGACTTTTAGACAGTGGATTTGATAACTGGGCCTTGGCCCAAATTAGAGAAAAGGAAAAATGGACTATGTGGACCCTTAGTCAAGATTAATATCCCATGTGTTGACTTATTAATTGTTATTTTCGATAGTTCGGGATTTTTGGTGAGACAACGATCGAAGAATTTTAGTCTAAGTTCAACATTACTTGTAAGGTGAGTTGTCCTCACTATATCAACAGGGTCTAAGGCACCAATGCCGACCCTTTTTCGGATTTGTATCCGGGTTATTTCCTTATATGCTCATTGATTTACATCATGGTAGTTAGGATGTGGTTTGCTTAGTGACCTGGTTAGGTCGGTATCCTGATATATAGGATGATGCTATGTTAGTGATGGGTTAGGTCTGTATTCAGGTTATAGGATGTTGCTATGATTAGTGATCTGATATATCAGTTTGACTATTATATATGCTAGCATATGATATTTATGTGCACATGATTGTTTGATTGAGGTTGGGTTGAGGTGGTATTGGTTTGTGTTGAATGCCAACATACCCAACGCGATCCGGATAGACTGAAGGCCCTGCGAGGCGGTGGCGATCCAGTCAGGCCGAAGGCCCGACTAGCGGTTCAGATAGGCTATAGGCCCTACAAGGCGATCCAGACGTGTTGAAGGCGTGGAAAGCCGTCCAGATAGGCTGAAGGCCTGCCAGGCGGTCTAGTTAGGCTGATTGCTCATTATGCATGCTGTTTGTTTATATGATATGATTATGATTGTGTGGCGTTAATATTTTGGGGAAACTCACTAAGCTTCGAGCTTACAATTGTTGATTATGTTTTAGGTAGTTATGATGACTGCGACAAGGCGAAGGTGTGATCGTGCACCTCCTTAAAATTTCATGATTTGATGATGGGGATACTCTGATGTTTAACCTATTTTGAAAACAAATTGTAATAACTTAATGGATTTAATTTTTTTTTAAAAGTTTTAAATTGGCTTGAATTTTATGGGTGTTACAAAAAGACCATAACATGCATACTTCAATCCCTACCTTAGATCTATGATGTTGAAGCACCAAGATGAGAACTTTATACCTTTAATAGGCTGAAAATGATGTAAAACCTCTGGATCTACAAGCTCTCATCAATCCCTCGCTTCTACTCTAAACACGTTCTTCTTCAAAATACCCAAATAACACCAAAAGGCTCAAGGTAGGCTCAAAATTCGTGCAAGAGGCTTATGGTTTTGTTCTTAGGGTTAGGTAGGATGGAGGCGGAAGGAAATGAGGGTTGGAGGTGAGTTAACGTGTTTACATAGGGTTTAAGAACCGAAAATTAGGGTTTAATCTGCCCATACAAATGCAGCACATTCCCTTGGGGAATGCATAGCGTTCCCAAATGCACCCGCGTCCGTAATACCCAAGTATGCCATGCATACACATCTCGTACGCCCCGCGTATCCGGTTTGGCCCAAACCCTTCTAACTTCAAATGGTCATAACTTCTTCGTTATAACTTCGATTTTGACGTTCTTTATATCCACAAAAAGGTAACGAGAAACCCTACTCTTCTGTCAACTTTATTTAGCTTGAAAACCAACCGAACTAAAATCCAAAATTCATAAAAGGTCCGAACCAATGCCTTTACCGATATCCTTGGCTCTAAAGAACAACCTGAACCCTTTCATCACATAACCATCAGCACCCACATCCAAATGGGTTTACACCTTTCTTCCTTAAGGCCCTAAACCTTATGATAACTGATGATTGGGCCGCAACCCCAAATAACAAAGCGATTTGGAACCGAGTGTTACAAGATACGAGCCCTACTTTCCCGATTTGCGCTCTACGCCCAATGTAGAATTCAATACGTCGAGTGTACCGACCAAGATTGAATTTCGTTGACTTTTGTGGAATTTGACCATTTGAGGATTAAGTGGATGGTGAGGGGTTTGCGAGGGGTAAAATGGTCTTTTACTCTAAGTGTGTGGACTAGACTTGTCTTGGGCCTTAGTAGTGTGTGTGTGAAAATAAATTAATTATTAGTTAAGGTTAATTGGTGTATTTAATTAGGTGGAGTCTAATTCTAGCAGTTCGGGTATGAGTTCTATCAGTTATTAGTATCAGGTGAGTCTCATCACTTATTCTTACCCGTGTGGTAGAATAATTGTATATGTATGTGACGACCAGTTGGGTCTATGTGTTATAATAGTGGTTGTGTTGTTTATATGTGTTGAGATTTTGGGTAGTCTCCAGGGTTGCTGATAACTCATCGTGATGTATGTGTTATTTTGGGGAACTCACTAAACGTTGTGCTTAAGGTTGTTGATTAAATGTGTTTCAGGTACTTTTGAGGATCATGAGAAGGCGAATGCTTGATTATACGCATTTTTCAGAAGATTTTGTTTGGACATTTTGGAACACTCTGATATTTTGATGTGGAATTGTATTTGACATTATGATTTTTCCTGGGTTGGTTTTTATAAAAACTGTTTTTCTATGGTTTTAAAAATAAAAGTTTTGGTTTGAAAACTTAGATGTTTCAGATTTTTTAAAGCGCATTCTATGTACCTTTGCGTGTGCGTGTTGGAGGACGATACTATGTTGGAGATGAGAATTGACTTGACGTAACCTCCAACCTTTATTTTGCCATGTAACCTAATGAAATCGGTACTTTGGCCTTTCCTCATAATTTCATTAAAATATTTTATCCAAAGTCAACGAAAAATTAATTTAAGACTTTTATCAATTTAATAGTAAATAGTTGAATTTTTTATGATATTAGTCAATTTTTTATGTATTAGTCATTTTATAATCAATCAACTGTGCATTTGAACAAATGAAGGGTCGACTGCGTTCAGCGGTTCTAAGTAGCTTCCAGAATCATCTTTAGCACTCTACATCTCTATATAAATCAACTATCGATCCCGTCAAGTCTTCTCTCATATTCCGATTCCGATTGTAGTTGGATTAACTTACACAAAACTGATCAGAGTTTGTAATTAGGGTTTACGTTTTGTTGATATGGCGAAAGAGGGACCTAACTGGGACGGCTTGCTTAAATGGAGCATTGCTCATTCCGACGGCACTGGAACCGCGAGAAAGTTAAGGTACGCTAACCCCGTTTCAATTTGTTTATCCGCTTTCAGTGAGTTGAGTTATTTCTTGTTTGCTTCAATTTGGGAGTTTGATTTCTTTTTATTGATTGTGATTAACAATCATGTTTGGAAAAAAGTGTTTATCTACTTGTTGTATTCGCTATTCATCCCAGACTAAATAACTTGCGTTAAGAATCAAAAGGTCACGTTGACTGTTGTTTGTAGGCCGTGGTTCATTGTCTTGTTTCCTTTGTTTTCTAGGTGTTTAGGTGTTTCATATGTTATTATGTTTAGGTAGACTTTTCAAATGGAATATTGATGCTACATATATCACTGATTTGTAATTTATAGTATTACTGTAGTTATGCTGGGGATTCAATATTTGTACTATTTACATGTTATAATTTCTCTTTCTTTTATATCGCATAGTGAGGATGATCGGAAATGGTTCATGGAAGCTATGCAAGCTCAAACTATTGATGTGGTCAAACGAATGAAAGAGATAACTCTTGTTATGCAAACTCCTGATAATATCCTGGAGGAACAAGGAGTAACATCAACAGATCTTGAAGGTATATGACAAATACTTTATACTTTTATATTCAATCGACATTTTAAACCACACCAAGGTGTTTACAATGCTATGCTTCTTTCTTTGAAGGTATGCTTGATGAACTTCAGGACCATGTCGAATCCATTGATATGGCCAATGGTAAGCTTTTCCTTCCATTCCTTTTCACATACTTACTATTCATTACAGAATCCAAGTTCTCTAATGTAGTTAACTGATGCACTCTATGTCAGATCTTCACTCCATAGGTGGTTTGACCCCTTTGCTCAACTATCTTAAAAACTCCCATGCTAATATCAGAGCCAAGGCTGCAGAGGTTGTAAGTACAATTGTCCAAAACAATCCAAAAAGTCAACAATTAGTCATGGATGCAAATGGCATGGAACCTTTACTTTCAAATTTCACTTCTGATGATGATGTCACCAGTCGCACCAAGGCACTTGGTGCAATTTCCTGTGAGTAGTCCTTCAATATTCATATATCATATACCTCTTTTTTATGTGCTTTTCATTTTATAAACTGTAACACATTTTCCAATTGTTAATTCCAGCTTTGATCAGACACAACAAACCAGGGATTGAAGCATTCCGCCTTTCAAATGGTTATGCTGCTTTGAAAGATGCTCTAAGCTCTGAAAGTGTTAGATTCCAGAGGTATCCATCTGTTAGTTTTTTTCTCATTATGTCTATTAAGTCAAATAGAAACATATTATGAAATTGATTAAAATGCAGGAAAGCACTGAACTTGATTCAGTATCTGCTTCAAGAAAACCCAAGCGACTGCAGTGTTGTTACAGAACTTGGGTTTCCACGAATCTTGAGACACCTGGCAGGAAGTGAAGATGCAGAAGTAAGAGAAGGTGCATTGAGTGGTCTTCATGAGCTTGCAAAGGTTGAATCATCAGTAGTAGAGAAAGATGATGAGAAATTCAAAAAAGTACTTGAAGATAGGATTAATGACATCAGCATGATGTCATTAGAGGATCTTGCTGCTGTTAGAGAAGAAAGACAGCTTGTTGACTCTCTTTGGACTGCTTATTACAACGAGCCATCTTTGCTTAGAGAGAAGGGGCTTGTTGTTCTTCCAGAGGATGAAGATGATGCTCAAAAACCACCGCCAGATGTCGCGTCTAAAGTATTCAAGTCTCCTCTTAGACCTCCACAGAGACCTCCATCAAGTAATGATGAAAAGTCAAAATCTGATAAGAAAGAAACCCCTTTGTTACTTGGACCTTGATTCTCAAATCACAGGTTGCAATGTTACTTTATGTTTTGCTTTTTTCTTGTTGAATATTGTTTTTGTTGCTACGTTTTAATAGTATTTTTTCTTTATGTGTAAAATGCATTTTGGAGGAAATTTGTTTGAATTATGAGTTTCTTTTGTTAGTATTGTTTTACGTATGTTTGATCATGTGGAGGCTTGTAGTTGATCTCAAGTCTCTGAGAAAACGGTTCTCAGTTTAGAAAAAAACCAAAGTATTTATAAGAAAATTGGATACTCACACTCCATCATTCCTCGACGCAAAAATTTGTTCAACATAATTCAATGTTCAACTTTTTTGTTCATCACGTCCATTAACAATCCTGAAATCATGATATACATCAGCATTCAGCCAGTTGATGCCTTTAAACATGTATACAAAAGGAACAAACAAATGTATACTGAGTTTGAATTAATTTGAAGACTATAAATAACCGTGTAAAAGAGGAACAAACAGATGTATGAGTTCCAATTATGATATATTTCAGTAATGATCAAGTTTTATTAAAATTGTACACCATATTGTTAAATAATGAAAATGAAGGGGTGTTTGGGATTGCTTTAAATTGAAAAGTTTTTTTTTTTTTTTTTTTTTTTAAACGAACTTTTTGATTTTAATTTTTGAGAGGTACAAAAGCCAAAAGTTAGATTTAAAAAGTGTTTGTCTAATATTTTTTGACTTTTTAAGGTAATTTATTTTTTAAGAAGGTAAAAGTTACAAAAAAAAATCATCATTTCTTGTCTTTTTGGAAAACCATCAACTCCTTATCAAAAAGTTTTCAAAAGGCTTTTTGCAAATGCCAAACATCTTATGAATTTTTTTATTTTTTTGGAAAAACCAAAAGTTAAAAAATCACTTAAAAAGTAATCTCAAGCACCCCCGAAATATTTGTTGCTGAAGCTATCAAAAGAGTGTTTGTGCTTGTAAGTTTGGTTGTTGGAATTAGGGTTGGGCAATTGGACCAGAACTGAATCGGGACGCATTATCATATTGAGGGTCTGGTATCAATTCTTAAGATTGATCATTTTCGGTTTGGGTTTTAGCAAATTTTGTGCTATTAGTTTCACCTAAAGAACTGGGACCGACCCAGAGGGACATGATGTTTTCTTTCCAACATATAGTTTATTGAATTTGTCATCTTTACACTTTTATATAGTAAATTGGTTGTACTTCATTTTAAACTAGACAAACAGTTACATATTGATTGAGTTATAGGCTTTTTTCAGAGAGTTTTAAAATTGAATTTATGTTGTATATGTATTGTCTACTTGTACTAAATGCATACAAAATATACGGACTCCAACTGGGTATTTGATTAGAAATCTGAGATCGGTACCAGCACCGGTGTAGTCTTACCGGTCCGTTATCGGTTTTCATAATCAGACTTAATTGGTACGGTTCCCCTGGGTCAAGTCGATTGCTCGAACCTAGTGATTTGCAATTGATAACAAGTAAAAATGTACTTTTGGTAAAGTAAAAATGTGATTAGTAAATGTAAAAAATGTGTTCTTAGTAACGGTCAAAATTCAAAGAGTAGAAGGGTGGGTAGTTTCAGCTTGCGACCTCCTAAAAGATAATTAAAAAAAAAAGAATAGAAGAATAAGTCAAAACGGACAAGCCAACTCAAAAACATTTTTCGCCCATATTTTGATCTTTTTACTCCTCTTCTTATGTATATAACTTGGATAAAGAATGGTTTAAATTTTATAATGCAACAATAGACAATTGTTCTAATGGTTATATAATATAGTTTTTTTACGATCAAATATTAAATTCATTCAAAGAAAAAAAAAAGAGAAAATACGCTACATTTAGAAGATTTTTTCATAAAATAGTTAAAATTTTTAAAATTACAATAGTCATGATTTTTACAGGTGGCAACTTGTGAAAATCTAGATTTTTTTTTTTTTCTGTTAACTTCGAGTTTTCATAATTTTTCATACAAATCATGTTATAGTTAGAATTTTTTATTGTGTTATTTATCTATATTAGATTACAAATTTGGATGTCAAAAGTCATATTTTTTAGCTCCAAAATAAGACATTCGTTTAAAAATGATGAGAAAAAACTTCATAACAATCATCATACTATCTGAGTTCTCCTGATCACAATGATGACTTGCAACCTAGATTTCTACAGGAGTTGGCCTGCAAAAATAAAATAAAAAATCACAGATCACCTAGATTTTCACAAGTGGTAACCTGCAAAAATAAAAGAAAAAATCACAGGTTACCGAGATTTTAACAGATGATGTCCTACGACAATTATGGCTATTATGGTTATTTTTTACTTCTAGCTATTTTGTTGAAAAACTTTTGAGAACTTTGGCTATTAAGGTTAGTTAACCATTTTGATTTTTCAAAATTTTTTCTTATAAAATTCCACATAGATGAAGATGGTTCGTCAACTCAACACTTTATAAAAGTTTTTAACTCATTTAGCATGTCCAAATTACCTTATATCAATATTTTAAAAACCGTTTTTTAGTTGAATCGGTCTAATGATCAGTTTATTGTTCAACGGTTTAACCGTCAGTCTATATCTAACAGTGGTATGCGTTCATCTTTGAGTTGTGTATACTGTGGATAACTTGATCGATCGAGTTATTCAATTTTCTTTGAAAATAAACTATTTTTTTAATGAACTAAGAGAAATCCAATTATGTAGGTCCAATAAACTGATTCAAATGGAGGTTCTATCACACCGAATCGACCTGATTTTTGAAGAAACCGTCCGGTTCAATCTGGTCTAAAACTTTGCATTAAACCGGTCATTATTGAATCACTCTATTTCCCGGTTCCCGGTCCGACCGGTTCAAACCGGTTTCCAAAACACTGTCTTATATTAAGATTTTAGAAAATGTAATCTTTTTATCCAACTAAAATTAGTACGTCGAATGAATAATGAGTTATTTATAGTGCAATATGGCCTTGAATTTAAAAGAAATATAATAATAAAATTTTAAAATAAACAATTGCATAGAAGGAAAATAAAATAAAGAACGCATATGATCCATTTTCTTATCGTCCTGTGATTGTTTCATTTTTGCTTTTCAGTTTTTGACTCCATATAAGAATGGACGAATTTTGAATTTTTATCATAGGTCGTGAGGTAATGCTTCTCTTCGGAACCCCATTCATGGCCAGTAGGGGTGAGCAAACCCAAACCAAAAAACCGAGAAACCGACTAAAACCGACAAAACCGAAACCGAAAATACCAAAACCGAAGCAAAACCGACGGTTTGGGTTTGATATTTTTAGAAACCGAAAAATCGGGTTCGGGTTCGGTTTCTAACCAGAAACCGACCCATCCAACCCAAGAAACCGACCCATACTTAAAATCGACAAACCGCCCCAAGAAACCGACCCATCCAACCCGAGAAACCACCCATACTTGATTGTGTTTTAGTTGTAATAGATTATTTCGGGCTTTAGTTGTAATTTGTAATTGACTATTTGTGTAAGACTCATGTTTTTTGAAGTACTCAACTTAAATTTGTTATTTTTTGAAGTATCTAACTTGTTGCTTCATTTATAGAAAGTGGGTTAAAACCTTAAACCCATGGGTTTAAACCCAGAACCCATGAGTGTATGGGTTGAACCCAAGAAACCGAAAAACCGCCCAAACCGAACTCAGAACCCAAGAAACCGAACCGACCAGAAACCGATACTATTGGATTCTAAAAACCAGAAACCGACCATTTATGGGTTGGGTTGGGTTTGAGTCCAAAACCGACCCAAACCGACCCATGCACACCCCTAATGGCCAGGTCCAGGTGGCATAGCCATCACGGCAGTACACACCAACCCAACCACAACGACCGTGGTGTTGCCTGCCATATACCACGAGTAGAAACGGCCCAACAATTTTAATGTGTATTTATTTCAAGAAGCATCGGATATAATTTTTTAAACATTTACATATATATATATATATATATATATATATATATATATATATATATATATATATATATATATATATATATATGGGAAAAGTGAATATACCCTTAATAGTATATAAGCTTAGGTACCCAAACTCACTATACTATATCGTTTTGTATCATATAATACGTTCTAATTATCTAATGTTCTTATAATTTAATTTGTAACTTGATTAATTCCAAAAATTTTATAATTTACACATTTATCTTCCTCTTATATAATTTCCATTTTCAACTACAATATATATAGTCTATTAGGTGTTCGATAAAAAGATGTGATGTAAGAGAATGATAATAGTGAAATGTTGAATATCTTGAAAGAAAATCAAGTTAGTGTTGTAGTTTAACAATATTATAATGAATATATCAAATAAAACGATGTATTATGGTGCGTTTGGGTACATAAGCTTATATACCCTTAAGGGTATATTCACTTTTCCCTATATATATATATATATATATATATATATATATATATATATATATATATATATATATATATATATATATATATATATATATATATATGGTTTAGGTCATTTTTGGTCACTTAACTTTTGGTTTTGTGCTCATTTGGTCACTTAACTCTTTTTAAGTTTTAAAAAGTCATCAAACTTTTGGCTTTGAGCTCATTTAGTCACTTAACTTTTGGCTTGGTCACATTTAGTCACCTAACTTTTAAAATTGTGCTCATTTTGTTACTAAACTTTTAAATTTTTTCAAAAGTTTAGTGACTAAATGAGTACAATTTTAAAAGTTAGGTGACTAAATGAGCACAAATCTAAAAGATAAGTGATCAAAACAAAAATTAAGTGACTAAATGAGTACAAAGTCAAAAATTGATGACCTTTTAAAACTTAAAGAGAATTAAGTGACCAAATGAGCACAAAACCAAAAGTTAAGTGATCAAAAATGACCTAAACCCTATATATATATATATATATATATATATATATATATATATATATATATATATATATTTATTTATTTATTTATTTATTTCAAGAAGCATCGGATATAATTTTTTAAACATTTACATACATTTCAACTATATATATATATATATATATATATATATATATATTTTGCACAATTTTTTTTTCTCTACTAAACAAACTACAATATATTCACATATAATTTCTTACTCAATCTTGAGAGGAAAAGGAAGAAACCGTGTTAGCTCGTGCTTGGATCTCGGTGTTTGACGACCCCATAAATAAATGAGAAACCTTTTGACCATCTATTGGAAACCACTTCAACAACGATATTGGACAAGGTGTTTATCGGGATCTCGATGAACTTTCGTCAAAATGACATGGTATGAGGCCAAAAATAACCGAGTTCAACCACAGTAATGACTTCGAGGTAATCCTTGCAACACTGACACAATACCAAGAATCTCAACTTAATCATAAACCTTTTCCCTATATTAGTGTTTGGTTTAAGTTGCGTAATTCTCCGAGGTCGTTTGAAGATGAAAATTAACTTTCATACTAATCAATTTTTTTTATTTAGATTAATGTACTTTTTTTCTATGTTTGATTTTTTTTTTATTTTAGTCTATTTATTGTTTTATTTTGATGAAAATTTAGTGTTTTATATCTTTTAACTAATTAAAAAAAATTATAATTTACTTAATTATAAAACAAAAAATAAATTATTTTGATGATGTATAGTGGTTGATATATCAAGGGGATGTTTGGCTAAACTTTTGAAAGGTAAAAGTCTTTTTAGGAAAAGTTGTAAAAAGTTAGGATTCTATGACTTTTCCAAAAAGTAACTTTTACAACATTACCAGACATCTTTTACCTTTTTATCTTTTCCTAAAAGCTAAAAGTTGTTTTAAAAGATAAAACAAACACCCCAATGCAAAATGATTCTATCACTACTTTCAAGTTAATGGCTTATTGGCTACTAGTTAAATTCATTAAGTTAGTTAATTTGTCCACATTTGGATTTGAACTCATGACCTTCAATCTAGGAGGCTTACACCTCTACTAAAAGAACTAGTCGCACATTGACATAATGTTTATTATTTTAACGATGTTCGTCTATTTTATACTTTAGCACGATTGATTTATATATAACAAAGTCTTAATGCTTGTTTGTGTAATGCTCTTACATTTTTTTTCTATTTTATGCTACAAAGTTGTTCTTTAGACAAAATATACAATGTAACCAAAACATGTAACATAAAATGATTAAATCTGTGTTTGGTGCGCCACAGTTAGCTTATTTTCAAGCCTTTTTAAGTTATTGTGTTTTGCAAGTCAAAAAATAGCTTATAAGCTAGCTTTTTAAAAACTACTTAGACTATTTTTTTTTTAATATATCAATTAATTAATTATAAAAAACACATTCTTTTAAATATCCTTCTATATCATTTCATACTTTTCAGCTAGTTTTATCAAACGTCATTTTTTATTTTTTATTAGTTGATTTTTCAGCTATCAAACAGTTTTTTTTAACAATTATTTTTTTACTTATCAATTAATTTTTCAGATAACAACTAGTTTTTCAGCTAGTATGCTTAAACATAGCCTAAAATGATTAACCAGTGTTAATGATTGTTTGTGCAATAGCATGTTTAACCGGTGTTTAACCGGTTTTAGCCTAATTGCATAATTTATATCAACCACAAAAAATGATTTAAAAAAATGGATAACGTGTAAAAAAAATTATAATATTGTTGCATAAATTTGTTAAATGAAAAAACATTGTTGCATAACAAGGGTTGCATCAACCTTGCATAGTTTGTGATATAAACCAAGAAAAAGTTAAACTTAGCTGCATAAAAATTTAACTTTAGTCTTTATAACAAAACACCAACTATAATGATACAAAAATGAATCATTTTTTCCCATCCAATGAGAAGAACCTCTGTTAAAACCCATAGTTGAAATGTAAACCAAAACCAATAATGCTATAAGGAATTCAATTCATTCATAGAAACATCTCTTACAGCAGTCAAAACCAAAAAGCAAATAAAATCACAAAAACAAAATACGGCATATATTGATATCAATTTATGCTTGGCAATAACTATTTCAACAATTGAAGTCAATTGTAAAAGAACACGAAAAAAATTGTAGCATAAACCTGCCTGCCGAAGCCCGTAATCTTGATGAAAATCTTATCCGTAGACAAAATAAGAAAATAGAATTTCCGAACCCCAAAAGGCACAATTAAAAAAATAACTATTTTTCTTCTTTTTCTTCTTGCAATTAGAAACATTTCCTGTGGACAATAGAGGGTCCAGATTCATCGTACTCAGCCTTCGCAATCCACATCTGCAATAATAAAAAATAAAATTATTATTTATTCAGAAAATCGGTACACTGACCGACCCGACCCGTAATATAATATTAGAACTGACCTGCTGGAAGGTGCTGAGAGATGCCAAAATGGAGCCTCCGATCCAGACACTGTATTTCCTTTCGGGTGGAGCTACGACCTTAATCTTCATGCTGCTAGGGGCAAGGGCAGTAATTTCCTTACTCATTCGGTCAGCAATGCCCGGGAACATAGTAGTACCACCACTAAGTACGATGTTTCCATACAAATCCTTCCTAATATCCACGTCACACTTCATTATAGAGTTATAAGTCGTCTCATGAATACCCGCAGCTTCCATCCCGATCATCGATGGCTGGAAAAGGACTTCCGGGCACCTGAACCGCTCTGCCCCAATAGTGATCACCTGCCCGTCGGGCAGCTCGAAGCTCTTTTCAACTGAAGAGCTAGTTTTGGAAGTCTCCAGTTCCTGTTCAAAATCAAGCGCGATATATGCCAATTTCTCTTTCATGTCTCTCACAATTTCTCGTTCAGCAGACGTGGTGAACGAGTAACCTCTTTCAGTCAGAATTTTCATCAGGGCGTCGGTGAGGTCACGTCCGGCGAGATCCAAACGGAGGATGGCGTGTGGGAGTGCGTAACCTTCGTAGATCGGGACAGTATGACTCACACCATCACCGGAGTCCAACACAATACCTGCAAAATAAACCGGCGAATTGACGTTAACCGATCACCGGAACCCTAGGAGAGAGATAGAGAGGGAAAGAGAGAAACAACAGAAAGTTACCAGTTGTACGACCACTAGCATACAATGAGAGAACAGCTTGAATTGCGACATACATAGCAGGGGAATTGAAGGTTTCGAACATGATTTGTGTCATCTTTTCACGATTGGCTTTTGGATTAAGAGGAGCTTCTGTAAGGAGAACGGGGTGTTCTTCGGGAGCGACACGGAGTTCATTGTAGAAAGTGTGATGCCAGATCTTTTCCATGTCATCCCAGTTATTGACAATACCATGCTCGATTGGGTATTTCAAAGTAAGAATACCTCTTTTTGATTGAGCTTCGTCTCCTACGTAAGCATCCTTTTGACCCATGCCAACCATCACTCCTGTGTGACGTGGACGACCAACAATGCTAGGGAAAACTGCTCTTGGGGCATCATCTCCAGCGAATCCAGCCTTTACATACAAACAATGGAATGGAATCGTGAAAGAATGGAATGGAATCGCGAAATGGAATAACAAATAACAAAGTAAATTTTATACCTTAACCATTCCAGTTCCATTGTCGCAGACAAGAGGCTGGATATCTTCACCGTCTGCCATCTTCTAGCAACTACATTCACGCATGCAGGAGAATAATTACATACATACATGCATAAATGTGTATGTTCATCATTAGATTGAAAAACAGGAAGTGCAAAACAATGGAGATCAAAAACTTTCATCTACAGATCACATGCTAGCTACTTAATTACTATTCAATTCAACTTCTGAAAATGACTTTTGTCGTTAAGCACAAAAATACAAGAGATCAATTGATATGAAGGTTATCGTCTATGACAAAGGATCCATATGTTACAAATTACATGCTTCTTGACTATCCAATCAAACGTTTTGGAAAAATAACTTTTATCATTAAGCACAAAACACAGGAGATAAATCGATATGCGGTTATCATCTATTTCAAAGGATCCATGTTAATTATCTCTACATAGTACTGATTAAATGATGGAGATCGACTCAGCTACAAACGCTGATAAAGGAAAAAACAAAATATAATCGATTTAAATGCCGATGAGTTCACGGATGATGAAAAATTAGGTCGACGTATTCGTTTTTGAGAACAAAAACACAAAGATCCAACGGTAATCCGCACAAATGATAAGAAAGATGTGCGAACGAACCATAGGAAGCACTCATGCAATGAAGGAACAGGAATTGAACAAAAATGAGATGATGTTTCATGAATAGAAGAGAAAATTTTACCTTGTAAATTGGATTGTGGAAGTTGATTGGTGTAATTTGAAATTGGAATGAAGTAAAACAAGGGCTGATGAAATGCGGGGTTAAATGATAAATGTAGATGAAAGATGGCCGATTTCCACGATAATCTGTTGGTAGAGATGGATGGTGTGACGCTTCATCAGGAAATCTCGTGAATCCCATTTCAGTTCTTCCGTTCGTTTACCAGGTTTATTCTCCCCCTTCTTTTTTGTCCTTTTTCAAGGTTCTGTTACAATAAATCATATATTTTGGATTTTTATCAAAATTTGACACAAAATAAAACTTATAACGTAACAGAGGACGATTAATTTCAAAAAATCAAAACTTATATGACAAATTAAGCGGATCTAAAATTTAATTCTTACGCACAACAAAAATGATATTTAAAAATAGGATGAGTTTATGATTGTGAGTGTCGAAAATTATGAAGATAAAAATTATAATCTTATACACGGAAAACCAACTAATATATATAAACGAATCTATTAAGGCTAAAGGTAAGTCTTACGACCTACTTAAAATTTTAATTTTATATATAGCAAAAAAAAAAACTATAATCCACATTACAAAAAGTAGAAGACATATTTTGAATTTTTATTTTTAAAAAATGTTTTAAAAAACCATTTCAAATCGAGAAAAAGATAAGTTGATCAGGGCAATTTGTTATTTTAAATTATGGATTTCATGATAAAAAGTTATTATTAATCGACACTCTCAAAATATCAATAAATAAATAAATTGCTATAATAAAAAGAAGCTTAAGCCTCAACTCCTCTAGATTCTTTAATTTTCAAAAATCTAGATATAGTTTTTATCAAACAATAAAATAGATTAACATTCAACTAGTTTTTCATTGAATTGTACGGTCTTTCAATTATATTTCAATCGACTTTTTTTAAAAAAAACTTTAAATCATTGGTGCTTGATCAGTTTTAACCAGCAAAACTGGTTGGTTTGGTTTTTTTTAAGGTACTCGAACTGACCCACCCACAAGTGTTGTTATTTTTTATCGGTTTAACTTAATTAGGGAACCACATGATTTTTTTGCCCTAGATTTGTCAATGTAGCAACATACTAACCGAAACAAAAATATCCGTAACCAATATGTTTGGTTAATAGTACCATGTCAACCAATTCAATATATATATATATATATATATAATATATATATATATATATATATATATATATATATATATATATATATATATATATATGACATCCCCAAAATCTTGGCCAGAAAAGACCGGTTTCATTTATGTTTTTTAAACATTTTCAGAGTAAATCATTTTGATTTTAAAAGAGATGCGAAATTTGTTCCAAAAAACAAAACATGAAAAAATAGATTTTTATCAAAACATTTCATAAAGAAATATAATTTCATTTCATAATAAAAAATTGGGATGTTATGTTCCGATACAGACCATAAAGCATAAACGATAACATTACAAGTCATTCAACAAATATATACATATACAGACTTGTAAACAAAACAACCTGATGATTTATCCATCTTATGCCCTTGCGCTACTTCCTGTAATACAAATAAACTGAGTGGGTCAGGCTTGAGGGCCTGGTGAGCATATAGGGTTTTCAACCCACAATAAATAATTATATTTAATTTCAACAATCAATAATAACCCGATTACTCATTCCCGTTATTCTCACTTTACGTCCCTAAAAACAACATCTATTATAAGGAACCTAATTTAGGATTTTCATCGAGACAAACATTACTGCAGAGGGGCTTCCTCAACAATAAATGTCCTAAAAGCAACCATGTGGGGGATAGAGTACACCGGTGAACACATCGTTCACAAAACCTACAGGTTATGAGTCTGCTAGCGTTCCACAGGACTGTTTAGAATAGTCCGTGGTCGTCATCCATACTTTGCTGAATGACTAGAATAACACCAACAACGAGGCCTCTCATCAATTCATTTCATTGCACACCAACTGTCTACCCATGTTCTACCCAACATATTAGTAGATAAAAATATACATGTTTTATACATAATTTTTAAAAGAAAAACTGTATAGCATGCTCTTTCAATACTCCATCCAAATAGCAAGTAACACGTAAACACATAACAAGAAATTTCAAGGAGAGTCATATAAGTCTATGTGTTAGAAGGTAATAATAATACCCTCACACAACCCGTATTCTTAAATACATTCAACGATTACTTGTATAATATCGTGTATTATAAGGCACTATAACAAGAAATTTCAAGGAGAGTCATATAAGTCTATGTGTTAGAAGGTAATAATAATACCCTCACACAACCCGTATTCTTAAATACATTCAACGATTACTTGTATAATATCGTGTATTGAAAGGCACTATACACTCACTTGATCAGAAGATGATTGGACATCACTACGACTTGCAGAAGTAGTATTCTTCAGTAGATCTGGAAGATCTTCACAAAAAAACGGGCTCCTCGCGGGCAGGGCTTCGGCTCGGGAATCTCACTTCTCGGGATCCTCGGGGCTTCGGAACTTGCTTCGAGGCCCGGGAATGATACCGGAGCTTTGGGATATAATTGACACGCAAATCGAGGCAAAAACTAGAGAGAATAAAGAGTTTGAACAAGAGAAATCGGCAGCTCTCGCATTCTATTTATAGGCTGCTGGGTCTAGAATTACGCTGGGCGTACTCAGTACGTTGGGCGTAATTTTGGTTACGCTGGGCGTACACTTCGGATAAGCTTTGGTATGTGTGTCACGATCTTCAAAAATTCATAACTTTCGCATATGAGCTCCGTTTTCGACGTTCTTTATATCCACACATAGGTGAGCTTATGCTCTACAATTTTCGTTTAGACTCCGTCGGCTAATTTTGACTTTATTTTTTATTATTTATTTTTAGTAGGCCGAGACAGAAAAACTTCGTTAGAAATTCATAACTTCTTCGTCTAACGTCCGTTTTTGTTTGTCATTTCACCAATGCACTACTATCAACGAGATCGTTGATTCTCGTTTAGAAAGTTTCGGCTAAAACTCGCTCGATCTTAATTCGAACTTTTAGGTTGTCTACTGCTAAGCTGAAACTTCGAAAAATCATAACTTCCTCATACGAAGTCAGATTTAGGTGTTCTTTTTATGCACACTCTCGGTTTAACATTATCTACATCTTTCGTGTTGATTACTAAGGCTAAATATCACTCCTTCGTAAATTCACTATTTACGTCACGCTGTGCCACACCGGTTTTGTCACGAAACTTCGAAATGTCATAACTTCTTTGTTATAACTCGGATTTCGGCATTCATTATATCTCCGGAATCGTTGTTTCAACCACTACATCTTCATGCAAAGATATCGGGCATATATCACACTTTAATTTTGACGCTTATTTTATTCTTAATTCATTAAATTATAATAATTAAGAAAATAAACACATAATTCACAAATAATACATTCTTATTATTTCAAAATTGGGTTATAAAGGTTAATCTAGACTATTACATTGCTAAAAATGGCAAGCCCAGAAACACGGGCGTTACATTTTATATATATATATATATATAATAATATATATATATATATATAATATATATATATATATATATATATATATATATATATATATATAAAAGATCAATGTAGAACCACTCTTAACTTATAGAACCATAAAACTAACATCATAACTTTAAGATTATTATATCAATAAATTAAATTAAAAAGATACATAATGATATTATACACCTTTGTCCATAGAATCACATACTAATGAGGGAATAATGGGGATTAAAAAATCATAATCCCTGTAAATTAGCTAAATTGATTGTATTCATTTTTGCTGTCAGTAATCTGC